AGGAGAAAGATGAAGTTTGATTCATGCCGAAAGCATGCTTGCTTTTGAATCGAAGCAACTTTAGAAGTTTGGCTAAGGAAGAATATCAACTTACCCGAGTCGGAAATAAAAAAAAATTATTCGACATTAAATGTACTTTGTTTCTCTCTCTACCCTGATCGAGGATCGAACGTAGAGGTTCCACGCGATATATATTAGCTTAAACCCTGTACGTCTCTACTAACTACGCAAGCTCCTCTAGTCTCTTTTAGAGGACATAAAATTTTTAGGAAATATTCAAGCAGATCTAGTCTTTTATCATACAAATCAAGATGGAAAACTTTCATAGAGACAAGCCTAGCTATTTTACTAATTTCACCCCCCATGTGAAAATTGAGGTTACCGCTGTTAGATTTTTTTTTATTTTTCATTTTTTAAAGTTAGAAAGTTGAAGCGTTGAAGAACCCCAAATCTTAAGGGGCCGGTTTTAGAGACGTTTTCAAAGTTAAGGCGTTATTTGAGAAACACCCAACTTATGGGAGTTTTCTGAAATTTACCCAAAACCATACCATAATTCATTGATAACAAGTCTATTAATTTTCAAATTTGGATCCTCTCCACTACAAAACAGTAGTGAAGAGACCGCTACTTTTAATCTTAACTATTGATTATTTAGTAGGCGGTTGTGATATAATCTAAATCTAAAACTCATTATATCGTCGTGTATTGCACTCGTTCCTAATTTGCACAAAAAAAAAACATCATAACCATCAACTAGATAATTAATGGTTGCGATTATGTAGTAGTCTCTCCACTACTTTTTTGCTAGCGGAGAGGATTTGAATCATTTTCCACTCTGTTCTTCTTTCTTTATTTTGAGCATTATTTTTAAAGAAGTACCTCAGTGAGTTTTGGTTTAATATTGACAACGTGGTTAGGGTACGTAACGGTAACTCCGCTCATCATTCTCAAAGATTAGCGGTACCTCAGCCTCGTGTGATAATTTCTGCAAATTTGAAAATTTGTGTTAGTTTTTCTCCAACAAAACAATTTATATAGTAGTCTTGCGCAAAAAGAACCTAATATTTCACAGTAGTTTTGTGAAATTTATCTATCCGAGTGGTTGTACAGGGTAAATAAAGATTAAAAAAATGTCCAAAATAACTTGCATGTATCACGTGCCAAACTCATCATACTAATGTATGCCATACCCAGTTAGCAGCGATTTTTCTTTTTTATATGCAATTTCACTAAAATAGGAATAGTTTGTGGAGTCCTATATGCAAATTAAATTGCTGATAGCTCATGCTAGTCCCGTGAAATTTGCCCCTCAGGAACCTGAGGAAACTAAAGTACATCGGCCGCTTCCACCCCTTCGACCTCGACTTCAAACGCCACTGCAAGGAAGGAAAGCTCCCAAACTACGTCGTCATCGAGCAACGCTACTTCGACCTCAAGGTCCTCCCAGGCAACGACGACCACCCCTCTCACGACGTCTCCGAGGGCCAGAAGCTCGTGAAGGAGGTGTACGAGGCGCTTCGGTCGAGCCCCCAGTGGAACGAGATGCTGTTCGTCATCACCTACGACGAGCACGGCGGATTCTACGATCACGTCCCGCCTCCTGTCGGGGTCCCTAGCCCTGATGACATTGTTGGGCCTGAACCCTTCTATTTTAAGTTTGATCGGCTTGGGGTTCGGGTTCCGACGTTTTTCATCTCGCCTTGGATTGAACCGGGAGTCGGTAAACGTTGTTCTTGCTTCGTCCTTTTCTATTTGTAGGAAATAAAAAATAAAAAAATAAATAGGCGTATTTTGATGTTTGATAGCACGTGATTTTGCACTTGACATGTAAGAAATACCAGTGTTAGTTTCGGAGATTTTTGGACAAATTTTATTTGGGCTTAAGTAAAATTATCATTTATCATGGGTTTAGATGAGAATTACCATACCTATTGGGGTTATTTGTGAAATTTACACCAAACAAAAAGCAGAGCAGGGTTTCTGATAAATTTTCTTGTTATTATAATGCAGTGGTTCACAAGCCTTCAGGACCCCATCCTTCATCAGAGTTCGAGCATTCTTCAATCCCTGCAACCGTGAAGAAAATCTTCAATCTGAAACAGTTCTTGACGAAGCGCGATGCATGGGCTGGGACGTTCGAGACTGTACTCACAAGAACTACTCCTCGAACAGATTGTCCAGGTACTGAATTAATTAACAACAGTTGCCAACTTATGAATTACATGAGATGAATACGATTTATCCTCTATATGACTTTGTTCTCGACGAGTCGTCCGGCCTAATCGACCTTTGTCATGTATATATAAGCTATAAACTGAGCAGTGCCTTAAATTGCATCAAAACTATACGAGCTTGTTCTGATCCCTCTCTGTTGTCAAAAAAGAAGCGGAGATACTCTTAATCTGGATGAAGTGTATACGTCAAATGATAATAATTCATTAGCTAATTATGAACTGTTTTGTTTCAAACCATCAAGATCTGACAATAATTAATCGACAAATTTAAAGTGATTTTCTTCACATTTTAATAGATTTTTATATAATAGACCAAGGCTAACACTTTCAGTTTCTGTGGGTTTCAGTCACACTCCCAGAACCTGTAAAAATGAGAAACACTACCGAAGCAGCGGAGCAATCAAAGTTATCCGAATTCCAGCAAGAGCTGGTGCAATTGGGAGCAGTATTGAACGGAGATTACATCAAAGACATCTATCCTTACAAGTTAGTCGAGCAAATGACTGTCGCCGAGGCTGCAAACTACACACAGGAAGCATTCAGGACCTTCTTGAATGAGTGCGAGAAATGCAAGAAAAATGGAGCAGATGGATCTTATGTTGTTGTCGTGAATCCTGCCAAGGGAACTGCTGCAGCTGATGACAATAACAATGAGCAGAAGAAGAAGTCTGTTGTTACGAAAATGTTTGGTTGCTTTGTTTGTGGACAGTCACAGGATTAGTCGTATTTTCGTTAACAATCGATGTAGAGGGATTGTTTATTTACTGTTGTTTAGTTGTTCATGTACGTACTGGTTGATTCAATGTAGTTGTGTGGATTGAATTATTGGTTTGTGAATTGTTTATATTGCTCAATACAGTTGAACTCATATTCAAAAAATAAATTCGGATTCAAATCATCTCCAATTAGGTTGTCAAATCGTTGTGTGAATAGAATTGTTTATATATTGTTATTTATTGGTGCGATTCAATGTAGTTTTGTAAATAGAATTGTTGGTTTGTGAATCGAATATGTTTATTTGCTGAATTTGAATTTGAATGTATAGCTGAAATGTAAATAAATCAACTGTAAGACTACCTTTTATTAAGTGGTAATTGAAGAGGTTCCAATACTTCAATTCTTAACGCCACATCCAATTAATTAAGTTTCGAAGGATAAATTAAGATCTTATAAAATTTTAACTATTATCTTAAAAATCACTAGTCTTGAATAATAATTACTGTGAAAAGGTCTACCCATTCCATCGTACTCTTGGTAGAGAGTGAGTCATATGTAAATCGGTTAATACACATTGCTCTATGATCGATACAAACGCAAGTTTTCTCAATGAAGATTTAAATCTTCAACGCATACCCCACCAACCTTATCGGCCGCAATGCAAATTGCAGAAGAAAACGTAAGCAAAAGTCAAAATGTGTATTTATTTCTTGAACAACTCAGGCACAACCACCACACGCATAATCAACACGACACAGGGCCTGGCCTACTCAATTAGCATACTTGATATACGCCACATGAGACGCATCGGCAACCGACTTCAAAGTACCAATCCAAGGAGCCACCCAGCACTTACTCTCCTTCTCCCAGTACAAAAACCCCACGCACTCACAATCCAAATCACACCTCCTCCTGCACTCCTCCACCTTCAACCTCCCTTCCCCTTCTCCATAACCACTCAAGAAATTATCCACCCCTTCCACCTTATAGTACTCCAAGCTCCTCCCTCGTTTACACTTTCCGGCGATCGCCTGCGTCGCGCAATTCTCGCTCCATCCGAGCAATCCTCTTCGGGTCGGGCAAGCAACGCACATCTCGTCCTCGCACACTCCCAATGCCCCGCACTTCGTTGGCAAGTCGCACCCGTCGACTCGTCCGAGATCATCGGAGAAGAATGCGAACGTCTTCTCCCATGCCCGGTAGTCCACCGGATCGTAATACGTGTACACGACCAAGTTACCGTCTTCCTCCAGCCGGAGGAACGACAAAGTCGCGTTATACTTCGGCCTAGCGAGAATCTCAGTGCCTATGTTGACCCCGAGTGCGAGTCTCAGCTCGTAGGCGAACTTGCCCTCGTCCTCGGGCTCGCATTCGAATTTTACGCTACTAAGCTTCTGTGACTCGACAAACGCACCGTACTTGAGAGGAGTTCTTGACGAAGATGCGTTGTTGATGTACATCGACAATCCGGTAGGCTCCAGTACTAGACTGTAAGCTCCATTCTTGCTCACAAGCTTATTTTTCAACGTCTGGCCTACGAGCAGTGCGTCAACTGGATGGTCGAAGCTCTGCCAGACGAGCCGGTCATTTTTATCGTACAAGACGACGTTGCCGTTGGGCATAATTTTAAGGCCGACGACGCCTTTGTTGGACGTACCGGTCGACCAGACAGCGTGTCCGTCGGAGTCGGAGAGCAGGAGGTCTCCGTCGCTCCGGAGGGCGAAGATGGAGTTTTCGCGGACGGGGCGGAAGGGGTTGGCTTGCCAGACCCAGCGACGGGTGGATTCCGAGCGGGAGGTGCCCATGCGGAGAGCGAGGTAGAAGGAGTTGGGAGTGGTGTTGTAGAAGCAGAACTGGAAGGGGGAGGTGGCGATGGGGAGAGGACGGTATGTGGCATCGTTTTCGGTTATGTAGGGGCCGAATTCGCCTTGGTTGATGTAGGTGAAGGTTTGGGTTGTTTTAGGTTGAGCAGTGGAGGATATAGGGAGGAGAAGGAGGGGGAGGAGGAAGAAGATGGAGGGGGGTTTTAGTACTGGAGACATGAGAGAGAGGAGATTAGCACTCGTTTTTGTTTTTGGTAGTTGAGTGGGTTGAGCTCATTGGGTGGGTGCGTACTTAAAAGACCTTGCAGCTAGTGGTTTCTAATCGATCCCAGTTGTTTATGTGCCTCCGCTTGAAATTTTATCACGATTCGTAGTCAATCTTTGAACGTTGAAGTCAGAGATAGGCAAAGCCCATATTTCATTTTACCAGTTTTTATTGGTTATGGAAGGATTTGGCTCCTCTCCGCTACAAAAAAGTAGTGGAGAGACCACTACTTTTAGGGGTTGTTTGGTTGGTTTTTTTAACTCGGTGGAAAAGTTTTACACCGCCTCCACATCAGATTTTTCGTGGCCACATAGGATATAAGCTTTCCGTCGGTTTTTTCTCATCTTTGGTTCGCTAGCGTTGAAGAAGAGAAACTCGGTGAAAATCACCGCCACATCAGATTTTTTTCTCTCCCCCAATTCCTTCTTCAACCTCATGAAATCGACGAAAACTGCAGCAACGTCAGCTTTTTGCCATATAAACAAAAGTTTTCCCTTTTTCCATGCGAACCAAAAAAAAAAAAAAAAATACATTGATTTCCCACCATTTTTTTTGCGAACCAAAGCGAAACAATCTATTTCTTAGAAAAGTTTGGAAAACTCAAAACTTGTGTTTTTATACATGGAAATGCATTTCGCTATATCTAGGAAACGAACCAAACAGCCCCTTAATCTCAAATGTTGATTACTTAATACGCGGTTATGATACAATCTAAATCTAACACTCACCATACCCTCGTGTATTGCACTCATTCCTAATTTGCACTCAAAGAAAAAATCACAACCACCAACTAGATAATCAATGGTTCAAAGAAAAAATCACAACCACCAACTAGATAATCAATGGTTGTGATTATGTAGTGGTCCCTCCACTACCTTTTAGATAGCATCACAACCACCAACTAGATAATCAATGGTTGTGATTATGTAGTGGTCCCTCCACTACCTTTTAGATAGCGGAGAGGATCCGAATCCGTTATGGGATAGTATAATTACTATATAGATGGCAATCCTTGTTTCTGTGTACTAGTTTTTATGCACGTGTATTACACATGATTAAATATTATAATTATTTGTTTTTAGTTTATTTTCTTACTAAAATTTGTTTTTCGATTTTAATTTAATAGTTTTTGCTCTCTTATGTCTTTAAAATTTAATATTGTGACTACTTATCTTCGTTAATGTTTGTTTGAATAGGCTACACCTAATTTTAAGTTTTATGTTGATAATTAGATTGACATGAAACCAACATGAAGCCAATTTGAATATTCATGTTATTCGAATTAATATTGAATGAAGCTTTTAACTAAGTAAGTATAGTATTGCAAAAGTAAAAAAATACTTGAAAATAGCATTATAATAGCAAGAGGAATAGTTAAAAGCTAATAAGCCTCAATTGATTAGAAGTAGCTAAAATGACACAAAAGAGAATATAGATTTTACTCCTAATCATTGATAGACTTCATTAAAAATAATAAACTAAATATTAATGCTAACTCTACAAATTAAAAATCATAAAGTAAATATTAAAAATCAATGTATTGAAGATTATCTCGCTTCTACAAATTAAATATATCAAGTAAAAAATTAGATATCAAATTAAAAGTGTCAGTAAGGTAAGTAGTCCTTAGTCGCATTGAAGATTATCTCGCTTCTATAAATTAAATATCATTATCAAGTAAAAAAATTAGATATCAAAGATGTGTCAACTGTGAGCCGCGATTCAAGTGTGCCAGCGATTTATTTTATTTCATTATAATTAAATACAATTTAAAAATTAGAATTTGATTAGGATAGTTTAAACTTTATAGTTATTTGATTAGGATTAGAATAAATCATTAAATATAATTTAAAATTAGAATTTGATTAGTATTAGGATAGTTCAAACTTTATAGGGATATTTTTGTCTACCGAAAGATTTTCTCGAGCTCGTGCTTTTAAAGGGAGTATGACTAGTAATTGTTAAGGGAAAATAAGTATGAGGTGGTGGTTCATTTAGTAAAATGAGCTATATATCAAGAGGTAGCTAATTTCGTTAAATGACCCATAACATCATATATACCCATCAAACCCTAATTGTTATCATGATACGTACTAATTAAATAAGGAAAGTGATAACTATATCATAATCCTAAACTAATTAATCACACTCTCAGGTTAACTGTTTGGGGAATTTGGTCTTTGTGTTTATCCATCCATCCACAGGGTCTTTCAAAATTTTGCAACCAAGTCAAAGATCCAGGCTGGCAAGAACACAATAAGGGGCTGTTTGGTTGTTGTTGGTAAAGTTGTGTATTTATGACACAACTTGGAAAGTTGTTGTCCACCTCATCAATTTCACTTTTATACTTTTCTTTGTTTGTTTTTGATTCCATTGGAATCATAAAATACTTGTTTGGTTTGCAAATTAAACTTTAATTGTTTGTTTGGAAAGTGTAAAAAGTGGTCCCTACTCAAATGATTATATTGGTTGGAATTATTTTTTATTATTTTTTTCTAACTTCAATGTTAGCTTTCTCCTAAAATCATGTATTTTTTCATGAAATCACTTTACAAGCCACATAAGCATATGAAATCACTTTACACTATTTTCACAACTACAAACAAACAATTGAAAGTGATGAAAGCTGACATTGGGACCCACTTTTTTATACTTTACATCCTTTTACATGGTAAAAACAACATTGGGACCCACTTTTTTATACTTTACATCCTTTTACATGGTAAAAACATACAACCAAACAGCCCCTAAGTTGCTTCATTATTGTGAGCATTGATCATTAGCTTTATACATCTATCTATAAAAACTCTTCCCCATCAAAACGCCACCTGACAACTTCTTCTTACTTTCAAATTTTAATTTTTTAAATTAATTTGTTAAAATATTAATCGTGCTTTCCCCTTTCTTCCATTCCCAACAGCGCCTGTTCGTGTCCGTCGACCACAATATTCCATCGCCGCCTTGAGAACTCCCATCCCCTTTCACTGTGCTTTCCCCTTCCTTCAATTCCCAAGACCGCCTTCAAAACGCCACCAAACTCGATGATTTCTTTCTCCTTCAGCCTCCGGGTCCAACTATTTACACTCCCAAATAGTAACTTTGGGGTGTGTGAGGACTAAATTGCCCTTGTTTTGGATGTGTTTTGTTAATCTTAGTGCACTGTAGAATTTCAAATTTCCTTTTGAAAATTGTGCAGTAGTAATTGCTTGTGCTCCCTTAATTTTGAAAGAATCTTTATCTTTATCATTACATTGTTGTTGTCTCATTTTCGTTTTTCCTTGAGGATCCAATTTTCTTTGAATTCTCGGTGGAGTCTAGGCTAGCCTTTGGGCGTACCAATATTAATTTCTTTCTTCATATTTACTGAAGAAAGCTTAACTCTTCTTATATTTGTAATAAATGTAATCATAAATGTGATAGCTTGCCGTTTATTCATCCAAATGCAGCATTGTTTCATACTGTTTTCAAATAGTATCGCTGTAGATGCTTCTTATAACCATTCATTGCGGTTTAGTCCTCACACACCCCCAAAGTTACTGTTTGAGAGTGTGAATAGTTATATTCTTATATAAAAAATTAAAGTTAAAATTCAACTTGTTTATATGATCGTCGACTAGTGTAATTTTCTTACCAAAATCCAATGATCATTGCTAAGATGTCCGCACACCACCTTTCGGGTTGGAGGTCCTTGTGTTTCATCTAATATCGCTGGCAGACAAGTATTTCCTCCATGTTCACTGAATGTCATGAAAACAACATTATATGTTGTTGCAATTACGTGACCGCAATCCGGTACCGCCATCCAGTAATCATCATCCGCTGGTCCATGGTAGTGAGCAATCGATTGGATGAGATTAGTCACATTAGAACTCCTCGCACTCCTCCCACCTAAGATTCGAGCGTACAAGGCGCTTCTATTCTGTAGATCTGCTACTAAGTCTTGTCTAACTTTAACCCAATCATCTTCTGTTCCGTAAATTGCTAGAGCCACCGCTCTAAATCCACAATTTCCGTCTGCCGCTACATCTGTGCATTGATCTATGTATTTTCTAATGTAGGGCGGGAATTCTCTCTCAAATACAGAATTCTTAAAGATGAACGTGGTGCCTTTGGAAGAAGGGGTTGACATTGGAGGCCTTGAGCACGGAGGATTTGGAGAAGATGGTGATACTGGTGGCCCCGTACGTTGGGATGTGCTCATTGGACTCCCCTGTGATTCAGAGATAGAAGCAACACGTCCAGGGCCCTTTACAAATGCATAGGTTGACAATGTTAAATTGAGAATAATAAATTAGTAACTAATATAAATCATAATTTTCAAATATAGAAATTCATAAGTTATGTAGTATTACCTTTTTGTTTGGAGACTTTTTAAATCCGTACTGTTTCACAACCCTCTCCCACGCCGAAGGTACACGGAGACTAGAGAGCTTTTTACCCTTGGTTTTCTTTTTAGCAGTAGGAGGTGCAGTAATATCAGGGACTTCTTCGAACAACGCCCTCCTCACTGGATTTGGTGGAGTCGGGGATCCATCCGCGGCATCATTAGGAAATATTGGAAACTGAATATCTAACTTTTT